GGCTGGCTCAAAACATGACTCAAAGGGGGGATGTCCCAGGGTTGAATTCTTTAAGAAAACACTGTGTACCCAATGAGTGTCCCTTACTCATAGAGCAAGAACACAGAAGTGTGTTTTCACATAATGACAGTCGCGTTAGTCCATTATAGTTTCTGAAAATGCAGCTGATTGAGGTAAGACAGATCTTCTCCTCTGGTGTCCAGTGTATATAGCGGATCTACCCATGAGCATTCAACCCACGTGGACGAAATATTCCTGTCTCTGTCTATGTCTACACTACATTCTCTCAAATCCATATCCAATCCTTAATAGATATACAATACTTTTAAACATTATTCAGTTGATCTGTGATAATCTACCAAACTTTCAAATTTTAGAGCAACACAGTTGCCAGATGTATTTTATAGTCATGAGTTTTAACCTGATCACATATGTTCAAGTTGCCAAAAGTTGTACTGCAGCAATAATCTCAATTATTTATTTCACATACTCATCTAGCGGTAGGACTTTATCCAAGAGTCTATCTGACACGATGCTAATGGCCCTGAAGTCGTTGGTTAATTTGATTCAGTGTGACATAAAAACCTTTTAACAGCTCAACTACAGCTACACCAGTAGGTGGATTGGCAGGACGGCCTGTAGCGCATACCTGTGGGCCAGCTCTGAAATTTCCATGGTCATGCACGTCCTACCCAGAGCTACGCACTGAAATGGTAAGTATACTGGCCACTGAAAGCTCCTTTAAATTCAGCACTGTTTAGGTCAGTTCATCTCACAGGTATCAAGCCCTACAAGAAAGTGACTGATGCATATGAAAATGTTTTGTTCAAACTATTTCAACATTTACACATAAGGTAAAGACATTGTAACATGAAAAAGGAAAGGAGGATTTAAATGTTAGGAACATGTTTTTACAGCAGCAGAATGTACACCATCAAAGAACTAGCAAATTCCAATAATTAATGTATCAGTAACAACGGCATAGGGCCAACTTTGGGGAGATGGATGAGCTCCTGAAAATGGGACATTGAGATATTTTGAACAGCTTGATGAATGAAAATGTGAAGTCAAATATATATTCATTGTAGCTTTATCCAGCTGTTTTATTTTGAAGGTACTGTTGGATAAGTTTTAGTTAATTTAACTGACCTAAACAAAAGTCTATGGATTTAGAGTTCAAACCACTGACACTCTATTCTTATATCTTTTTCATCTCCTTTAGGTGAACTCATTATTAGTTATACAATTATTAAATCATATGTTAAAATTATAATGTTCAAAAATAATCAGGACAAACTGGCATGATTGGGCATGGCGTCATTTAAAAGTCTTTAAGTATGTATGCTCTCAGCGGGACATAGAGCTCTATGGCTTCATCTGATGTGGTGGGTGGGATTAAGAAGTTCTCTTCCATTATAAAGCAACAAAAGCTGAATACATCACAAGGACAAGGCCGTCTCTGCCGGCCTTCTTCACACGCCTCCACTGCTTCCTGAGAGACGTCTTTCAGGAGATCTTGTCCTCCAAATAGATAAGGGGTTGGTGTAGATGACAATTGGATGTCCACTTGGAGCTACAACATTTCTGCTGTTGCTGATTACAAAAGTGTTCTACAAATGTGCAAATTGCTGCAGCTCTGTCTGTAGAAGAAAAATACCAGTAAGAACAAATATTAATTTATCGCCTCTTGTTTTGAGTCAGTATGTAGACATACTGCTTCATGGACAAAAGGGGTGTGCAGGGGAGCAATCGCCTTATTTCAGGCCTCAGGCAATGTGTTTGAATCCAGACTAAATATATTGCTGTGTCCAGAAACATGCGGTCAGTAATTTCAATGAAGATTCCCACAGCTTAGCAAAATTATTTGCTGACAAGATTACTGTAATTATGTTGACTGTGTGTGTGCTGCGTGAGGATGCCTGTTTGAATCAGCTTCTTCCCACATTGACAGTCATGTGGGAGTTACTGAAGTTTTTGAATAAACCACAAACACAAAATGTGTCAGATTATTACATAATGTGGGTGTAGGGAAAATGTATTACATTTTTAAGATTTATGACATAATATGTTGTTATTACATAATGTGGTGTTACAAGGCGGAAAGGTGGAACAATTGAGAGAAACAATCAAAGTAGAGGAGGGCACGGAGGAGAGATATATACAAGAGAGTCAGAGGATATAAGAGACTAGAAGAAAAAGGTGGAAGAGAGGGAGCTGAAAAGAAGAAAGAAGAAAAGAATAGAAAGATGGAGGAAGAGATATGGGGAAACAGTACAAAACGGTGTGATAGAGGTAGGGAGCAGGGACACAAGAAAAAGGTGGTAAGGACGAAGAGGAAGGATGAAAGATGCAAGCAAGGGCAAACTGGGACAATAATTCAGGCCAGAAGTTTGACTACATTCCCGTTCACCCTTTTCACACAAAGCATCAGACCTCTACTTTTGGAGAATAACCCTGTTTGTTGATGGAATGGTTACCAGTCTAGTAAACAAGTGGGCGCCGCAGTAACTAACCACCCTCTGCCATCTTTTCAATGACGTCACCTTTGTCAAATGCCATAAGAAATCTCCCTCTCTGTTGCCACAACCAGAACTGATAATGTGATATTACAATATATTACACAGGTTTTTACTTTGAAATTGTAAGTCAGATTATCCTGATATTGTCAGAGTGAGACTCTGTGGTGAACTGTCACTGTGAAGGGAAATTATGTGGAAACAGGTAGTTTCTCAGCGACAGTCTGTTATTTTGTTGCTTGAATTGAAGTTTTTCTTTATTATAACGTTTATTCACACAGTAGTAATGAGACATCATAGACCGTTTTACATGCAGACGTTCATTTTTATCAATAATTTTCTTTATTGTTTCACATTATTTCATTCAGTTCATTTAATTTAGTTTATTTTAATTCATTCATTTGTTACTTGAAGTTATTCATGCATTCACAGGATGAACAAATGTGAACATGTGTTTTGAAGTGAAGGCTGGTTTGGCTGCAGTCCTGTACTGCTGCACAGTGTCAGTGTAACTTGCTGTGTCGCTTTGTTTTACTGTGTTAAGCTGCATCTCAGACAAGAGCTTTTCTCTTTTTAATTCTCTCCCTCTCTGCTCCACCTTTCCTTTTCTTCTGACCACGACCTTCCATTTAATACTATCAGAAGCATGTGCACAGCTGCTACAGCAGAGCTGTGATATCTTTGGCTGCTACGTGCGTCGCGGACAGACGCCACCTCCGACATGATTACGTCGGTTGCCAGATACATGGATTTGAAATGTCCATCACAGACAACAAAGTTTACCCTGAGACTCCAGAATGATTGGACTCAAACACTTCACCAACCCCCCCCCCCCCCATCGGCATAGTGGTGGGTAGATGTGCATTTTCATTTTTCATAGAACTATCCCTTTTTAAAGCCCAAGGTAACATCACTGCATTTTAATTGACTTTGAGGTAAGCTTCATCAGTTATCTCCCATATCAAACAAATTGTACAAAAAGAAGTCGTATGTCACCTCTAGTGTAAGTTTTGAAGGGAATGTAACCACTTTTCTGAGGACGGTACTTCTGGAGAGCTGTGGGCAGTCACTAAGGCAAAGCAAAGTTCTGCAGGTTTATATTCTCTCAGGAGTAATTCTTTAAACGTTCTGTTCCCGTCCATCCACACCAGTAATCAATATTCAGGTATTCCAAGTATGAAGAGAAGGAGACAGGATGTCATTTAGGAAGACACATGTGTGTTGGACATAAATAGTTGTGTAACCAACAACAAAAGAGAACTATAGAAGTCTCATCTCGTGCAAACAGCCAATCACAGTGTGATATCTGATGCTGTATTTGACAGTTTAAACAGACTACATGCTTCAGTCCCTCCAAATCATAGGATTGCTCCCTAGCTGCAGTTTTCTGTCTTCTTCATTTTATCTATACATGTGGGACTGTAAGGTTTGACAGAGCTAATGTTTGTGTCACAAAACTCAAAGTAATGTTAGACATTACTTTTGCTTATGAATAACTAGAATATATATATATATATACAGTATATGGTATGGAATGCTGGGTTCTTCGTCCTCAGTCATCTTCAGTGGTCTTGTGTGACTCAGTTGTCAGTGTCAATGTGACAAAGACAGATTTAGCTCAGAAGTGTTGACTGACCATGTCAGTGAGCTTTACAAGAGGTGCCATTGTTGTGAAATATGTCATCTCTTTCTATATTAATATTTCCTCATGTGAAGTCTCTACAGGTCCCAGTCCAACTTCATGACGTGTGTTGCACATTTCTGTTGCTAAACCCGATGAAAGAAAAACCTGTAAACGGTTACTCTTGGTTACTTTTAGTCTGCCATCTATTAAACACCTGGTAAAAATCATACACTGTAACGTAAAAGCTTATTTTTATTATTCCATTTATGAATCAGCCGGATTGATTTAATATAAAACAGAACATTTGTGAAACTCTCACCTTGCAGAATATTTCCATACCTGCAAATATTCATTCTTTCCTTATAATAACTTACTCACTAGTTAGTTACTAAACACTACTTATGAATGACAAGAAAGCATCAAGCATTCATTCAGCCACACAGAAGGTAGGTAGGACATGTGTCAAGTTGAATTGACTTTATATTGGTGGATATGTGCCTTAGTTTATCAGTAACTATGATGTCATTTCCGACCCAGGTGCTTCTTCTTAATTAATGCAGGGTGTTGGAGTTAGTTTTTTTTAATGCAATTGAGCACAATCAGAAATCAGCGGGTGTACTGAGTCAGTATATTTATCATCAGGAATGCCTCAGAGACTGACATACACTAATTTCAGCTGTCATTGTGAACACTGTGAACAGTTGTGATGATATCTTCAAAGCTGTGGCCTTGGAGTCTGAAAAGATGAGGCGGAGAAAAAAAGGACGCAGAATACAGAGGATGATGTGTTTGCGCTGCTTGTGACCAGATTTAGCATAAGTGAATGTAAAATGAGCTGGGTTTTTGATATGACAATTTGAATCGATGGCAAAGAGCACTGTCAGAGAAAGGAAAGGAGTATTGTCATGTTGAAGTTTACCTTGGTCTTTTTTTTTTTTTGCAAGGATGGTGTGAGTGAGTCACAGAGTTTCTGAACGGCGGGCTGGGTTTATAAACCTCAGCCAAACATGAGTTTGGAGGCCACTTGTCTCTTCTGTCTGTCACGTCTGCACATGCAGCGGCGTCCATCAGCCTCAGCATCCTTACTTCTCTTCCTGGCGGGTACAGGAGCGCAGAGAAAGCTCTTCATCATGAGGTCCTACGTCCTACTGCTCCTCACCCTGTTGTTGGTGTCCCATGGATCCTCAGCCGTCATCACAGGGGTAAGTGGAAGCAAACAGGTAGATTCCTCACAGGGCAGAGGGAAGCTCTCGGCATGATGGAAATGTGCAGAACAAGTGTATTTGCTTTTCAAACTACTATTTTTAAAAGAAGATATTAATTGGTGTGCAGTGTTTAATAATTGTGCTAATGTATAGTATGAAAAATTAATTAATTCAAGAATTAGGCTGTTTTTAACAAGAATTGAAATTTTACAGAATATAAAGTGGTATATTATCATGTCTAATTTGTGCTTAACATATATCTAAATCTTAAGATATCTATTAACAACTGGGAAATTATTCACAAATTTTCCTTTAAAAGTTCAAAAATATCTTTTTTATGTAAATAACATTTGACAATTAAAAAGGCTTTTAAAAAAGAAGTGAAATAAAAGTGATTTTAGAAAAAGGCACTGGGTTTTTAGGTTTTTACGGTTTTAGGATTTTAAAAGCATGATGGACGACTAATGTAAAGTGCAGTGTCTACACTGACTGAAGACTGCAGTATATCTGCAATCTATTTGTAACGACCGATATCTGAAGTTGCAAGGTTACCATTTGAATGATCACCCTTTTTCAAATCAGGATTTATGAGCGCACATCATGGCAATAACCTGCAAATAAAACACCATCCCTGTCACAACGCTGTGCTGCTGCATTGCTGATATGAACAGAGAGAGGAGCACGCAGCCATAAAACACAGGGGGATCTTCATCCTCATCTGTCACATGAAATGTCGTGTTCCTCTTCATCGTGCTCCATTCATCTCATTCAAAGTGAGAGCTGTCACTCACAGTCTCATCCCAACGTTCGGAACTGTAAACCACCACCACTCCTGATGTGTTTTGTGGAGGTATGATATGACAAATGGTGTGATAACATTAAACCACTCACACACAGCATCAAATACAACTCTCACTAGCTTACTACCCTTTATCCGTGCAAATAATGCTAATCACATCGTGTGATTTATTATATTACATAACATTGTAAACATATGTGCCTTATGTAATTGCATTCATAATTATTCTACTGCTTTACAGTAATTTCTTATTAGACATAGAGTCAGGATCCCCACTGACAACCATGTTTTATTTCTAAAGACTTTTAAGTCTAAAAATGGAAATGGTCCCATAATTTGAAATTAACATTACAGGGAAATACGTTCAAAATGAAAAACATGAATAAAATAAATCCTAAAGTTACTTTTTGCATGAGGATTTAAATGTTACTAGATGACTGTAAGTGATATGAGTCATTAATATGCATACATTAATACTGTGACAGCCTCAAACCGTGTGTGTGTGTGTGTGTGTGTGTGTGTGTGTGTGTGTGTGTGTGTGTGT